CTGTGTATTCTTTCGCTATCCCTATCGCCGCTGGATCTCCCCTCCTCGTGAACCAAACACTCATGACAACTATGTCGAGGGAAAACCCCGACAAAGACTGTTTCTTTGATTCTCCTCAACTGTTCATCTAAGACAAATAATTGCATCTTCGATGCTGTTTACAAGCTTTTAAGACCTTGGTCCCTATTTACCAAAATAGACTGTAGAACATTTTCTTTGTACACTGTATTATGTCAGTTGACCTACTTGTCCCCTGAGACACTGGTCCTAAGTCCCCATTCTTAGTGAGTCATTCCTTCAGTGTTTGGTTAAGGCTAACAAGTTCTAGAGTTCTGTAGTCCTGGTGTGGCACTGTAGGATAAGCGCTGGGCCGCAAGGTCGGTTTGAACCACAAGGTCAGCAGTTCAAACTCATCAGCCACTCCATGGAAACCCTACACAAGGTAGCCATAGATCAGAAACAACTCAATGACACTTAACAAGTTTTCAGAACTTGGTCCCCTGTAAATTCTGCCATAAACCTGGATATATTTATAGCACATACAAATACATATGTAGAAATAATCTCTGCCAGACCTATAAATACTCATGGATGTACTCCCACTGACATTCTCATATCTGTTCAGCTTGCATGTCTACCTATGTATCCACTCATAACTACTGTTTGTTGTTATTATTATTGCAGGATTATATGTATAATAGTATTTTCTTTTATTGTCTCTTTCTCCTGTGCACCTCCCAATGATTTCTTTTGCCCTTCATCATCTTGTGCAGCACTCCCTTTATTGTATATTGCCTTTCCTTCCAACCATTAATATGTGTCTACTCTCTAAAAGGGGGGGAGGGGAAACACACTAGTTCCATGTGATAAGCACTCCAGCAGCTCCATGGGAAACATATGACACTTTCTGATCCCGAAAAGATTGAAAGCCTTGGAAAACCTATACAGGGTCGCTATGAGTTGAAACCAACTCAATGGCACATAAAAACAATAACAACATTTAAGTTATATCCATAGACACCTTGATAAAAAAGTTTCGTTTACAAAACAAGTAGTATGTGTTTCACATTTCCTGTTGCTTTATGCATATGTATACAACTATAATCTTAATAAGTATATAATACACTTTATTTTTCTTCAAAATCAATATTAGGTTTGGAGTCCTGGTAGGGTGATGTAGGATAAACACTGGACGGCTAATTGCAATTTTCGTAGCTCAAATACAGTAGCCACTCCTCAGAACCCTATACAGAGTCACTATGAGTCAGAACTAACTCAACAGCACTTAACAACAAAAGTCACTTCAAAAAATTGTATTTAAAAATACAAAATTGTTTACGTGCTTTCTTCTATGTTTAGATATAAGCTTCTTTAAAAAATTATATATTCTTAATTATGTTTCACTTGTCTACATACATGTTTGTCTGTATATTCAATTAAAGGATGCTAGAAGCAGAACATGTTTAAGGCTTTTGATTTGTACTATTCAATTGTCCTCCAAAATCACGGCCAACTTAACATCTGTACCTTCAATGTATTATGTCCTTTTTACCACACACTTAAGAGAAGCAATATATTTGTGTCTAGTGTTTTTTACAATTAGGAAACAAAATTTTAAATTTAAATCTGAAAATATTGCTAAAGGACATCCATTTTTCTTCCATTAGTAAAATAAACAGACTGCACTTGTTGCTGCTGTTATGTGCTATTAAGTCAGTTCCGACTCAAAGCAACCCTGTGTAAGGTTTCTGAGGAGCAGCTGGGGGGTTTGAACCGCCAACTCTGTGGTTAGTAGTCCAGTGTTTATCCTACAGCACTACACCAGGAATCCAAAATAGACTGTATTAAATTCCCAGTACCCTCATTTATTTAGGGAAAGACTAAACGGGTAGCATATCACTTAGAAAAGTGCCTTGAACTTGATGAGGTTTATGTTGAGCAATCCGGTTTGTATCTTTTGTTTTTATCTTTTAATTCCATTTTTCCACAAACTTTTTGAAGTCCCCTCATATCCACTCACACAGCTGAATTTTTCTGGTTGAAGTTTGTACTCACTTGTAGTCATGACAGTAGGAGGGCAGGAGGGAATCCCATGATCTACTGCCCATCTGTAGGCTCCTTCGCCAACTAAAAAGCTAACAACAGAAAACAGATTAATAAGTTACAGTGTGATACAAATAAACACAGTAGCTGAAAAAACTCTTGCACATAAACATAAATCTAGATTTAGTCAGAGCAAGATGACTGCATTACTAAAAATTCTATTGAAATTAGAAATCAAGGTGTCCCCAGGTTATGAATGTCCAACTTACCTACAACATATAGTTAGTTACAAATCAACCCTTGTAAAATATATTAAAAATTCTAGGTTTATACAATTGATCATAATTACAAATGGGGTCTACACTGTAACAAAGCATTGTAATTGCTATATTATTGGTGTGGCACTGTGGGCTAATGCCCTGGCTGGACTGCAAAGTCGGTTTGAACTGCTAGGTGGGCAGTTCAGACTCACCAGCCACTCCTTGAAAACCCTACACAGGGTCGCTATGGGTCAGAACCAACTCGACAGCAATTAACAACAACAACAACAACAACATTATATTAAAAGTATTTTGGTGTATCTGGAATTGTTTGTTTAAAATGATGCATAGAAAGGTACACTACATACAAATATACTAAGACAAATATATGACAAGCTGATTTTAGACTGGAATCATACACAATTATATCAAGTTACACAAATCCAGCTTAAAGACAGAAATGGGTACAAAATATATTCATAATCCAACGACCATAATATAATTGAAAATTTTATCATTGGAAATGTCACAATATCATTTGCTATAATTAACAAATAAAAATTGACAAAAACTTAACATGCTAAGAAATGAAAATGCCTGAAAAATATTAAATTTATTTTGGACCAATATACTTTCCAGATCATGGCATGATATTAAATGAAGGGAGAATTAGAAAAAAAGATAATAAAAGTAGCAAATGGCCAGATATACTTGCCCAAAACACAGTAAGAAATGATTACAGTTCTGGGTCTTGATGCAACAAAAATATATGCATAACCATCCGATTAATGTTTATTCCACAGTAATTATATCTCCAAAGTAGTTTTTAAAACCATAAACTGCAAACTTCAACATAATAAAGTGAATAAATGGGTATGACTACCTAACTGGTGTGGTGCTGTGGGTTAACGCGCCAGACTGCAAAGCCGACTGAACTGCAAGGTTGGCGGTTCAAGCTCACCAGCTGCTCCTCAGAAATCCTATACAGGGTCCTTATGAGTCAGAACTGACTCGATGGCACTCAACAACAACACAATAAATACCTAACCGGAGTCCTGTGTGGCACTACAAGTTAACACACTTGCTTGCAAGGAAACCCTAGACAGGGTCGCTATGAGTCGGAACCAACTCAACAGCACTTAACAACACAACAACTAACTAATTATTGAAAACTTATTTTCAAGGATTTCAAGTAACATGCCAGATAATTAACTGCCCAATTCCCTCTAAAATTTGATCGAGTATGTAGAAATACAACAATCAGTTGCTATAATAATCCATCACTGCATTTCCTCCATAACCAATTTCTTGAAGATTTCAACCACCTACTAATTCCTTGAGTTTGTGTCTACTTATTAGTTTCTTCTACTAGTCCAACACTAAAAATTCAAAGTAATACATATCAAAGCCTTAAGCTGATATTTTCAAAACCCTCATTGGGCATTTTGGATTAAATTCCAATATCTGGCCTCAGTGGTACTTCAAAAAGTGTTTCTAACTTTATTTTGCATTTCTAAATAATGTATAGGTTTGATTCTAGATCAAACCAATTTACTGTTGTCACTTATGCATGTTTTTAGATGTTTTAGGCACTTTAAAATATTCAAAGGAAAGTGAATATTTGCATGCTATCTTATGGATAGGAATACTAAAGGTGTGGTCTGTCCTTGATATAAAAAAATCAAACAGAACATCATAACTGATTTTGAAATCATTTTTAAATGTGTCAAATCTATGCAAGGTTTTGCTAAAAACTATATGATAATAATTTCCCAGAAAATACAGTATTAATTCAAATTTATCTCATTATTCTGACTCACCAAGAAGAAAGTTTTTAGAGAAAGTGCATCCCAACCCACTGGAAAACTCCATTGGTTCTACATTAAAAGTATATCCACAAGTTGACTGCTACCACTGTTAACACCTTAGTGTAAGCCACCATTATTTGCCCCTTAGATTAATGCAAAGGTCTTTAGCAGTTTTCATCATTTCCATGATTACCTTGCCCTGCCCCTTCCCTTATCTATTCTCAATATACCAGTTACTAAGATCTTTGTAAAACACACATCAGATAATGATAAGCCTCATCCTAACCCCTGTAAAATTTCTTGTGAGCTCTAGTATAAAATATCATCATCACAAGCATCTACTATTTCCCACATAATCTGACCCTTTCTATATCCTTCTCTGTTAAATATCTTATTCCTCTTGCTTCACTCTATCCCAGTCTCTTGTAGTGTCACAAACATGCCAAGGGGGCATTACAAATGCTTTGCCCTGACTGTTCTATCTGGAAGCCCTGTTTCTCAAATGGCTAATTCCCTCATCCGCTCAAACATCTTTTCCCTTGATGAGGTCTATTTTACACTTCACCCAGACACACTGCACTCACAGTCCTAAATCCCCTCATCTTGCTCTGTCCTCATTTTTTCCAATTTCAAATATACTACATAATTTACAAATTGTACCTGCTTATTTCTGCCTCCCTCAAATAAACTGTAAGGTTCATGAGGGCAGCAACCTTGGTTTTATACTGCTATAGCTCAAGTACTTAGAACATTGCCTAACACAAACTAAACATGAAATAAATATTAGCAAGATAGTATATAAAATAAACTGTGGATCAAACTTCCCCAAGGTTAAAAGCATATTTTTCCTATATTATACCTACCTTTAGTTTACATTAAAGTAGGTGTAAGGTGCAGTAAAACAAACAGCAATAATACTTTACTACAGCAAACAACTTTATTTTTAAACAGACCAGCACTTACTAAAACTTACACTAAGCTAAGCTGTAAATGTTTTAAGGCGTGCTAGCAAAGAAGTCCAAAATATGGTGATGTAAATAACAATGCTATGAATGGGAACCACTCATTTTTCAAAGAATCATGACAATAAAATCAGTCTTAAAAAGCTGGAATTTAGTGATTCAGAAAGCTCTCAAACATCCTGAGGGACTGTGGTAATCACCAATCAAAATACGTTATTGTGAATGAGAAAAATGTACAAGGATATGACAATTCTGTGACCATCCTGACAGCTGGTTGCTTTGTTGGATTTAAGCACTGATTTCTATGTATCTTATCTATCACTTCCTTGTTCATCATAAACACACAATGTTGGAAAAAGGTAAATTAGTAGTTGTTTACTGCTTAAAGCTTACAAACGGTGGTGCAGTTGAATTACTTGATGTGAGTCTTCTAGTCATAATCTTTGTAACTCCCACCAAATGACTGGGTTGTTGTTGTTAAGTCCCTTTGAGTCAGTTCTGACCCATAGCGACCCTGTATAGGGTTTCCAAGGAGCATCTGGTGAGCTTAAACCTCTGACCTTGCTGTTCATACTGCTTTGCAGTCTAGCACATTAACCCACAGTGCCATACCAGGACACCAAATAAATAACTGTTATTGTTTTTAAGTGCTGTCAAGTTGATCCCTACCCATAGCAACCCTGTGTAGGGTTTCCAAAGAGCAGCTGGTGAGCTTGAACCACGAACTTTGCAGTTCAAATGACTTTGCAGTCTGGCGCATTGACCTACAGCGCCACACCAGGACTCCAAATAATTTGTTGTTGTTAAGTGCCGTTGAGTCGGTTCTGACCCATGTTGTTGTTGTTGTCAGGTGCCATCGAGTTGGAACCGACTCATTTTGCACAGCAGAATGAAACGATGTCCA